ACACTACAGGACGCTTATTCAACGAGCCGCACATCTCAAGGTCAAATTTCGAAGATCAACTTGTGTCTTTCTTGGGCTATGTTTTTAGTTCTTCCAGTATTGGAGATATTGCGTGAGTAGTTTGTAGCCCGACAATTTAGCAATTTATTTAGGTAAGAATATTTTCAATAATTTGCTTATTTACTATGCACTGAATGAAAAGAGAATAGTAATTTAGAGTACCTGTGCTCAACTTAATAGAAACTCTTATAGAACAGGAATCATCTGTTAAAGAGGATAAGCTCCCATGCTGCTTTGCCCAAAATATTTTCTAAATCGGAGCTGTAACTTTCGAACTACTGCAAATTTTATAGTGACACTCAAGGTCGCGCACATTCAAATGGTGATAGCAATGAACAAAGAACACAGATGTTGTAGATAAAGTCGGGAATAAATACAGTTTACTCATAGCCATCTATATATAACTATGGTATTGCCAGCTGAAATGGATTTTCAAAATGAGGGTGATGTTGCACGAGTTTGGTCAACACCTGTATTTCATATTGTTATCCGTAACATATAACAAATTAAATAAATAATTAGTTAACTTATTAAGTAAGTATGTAAGTATACATGCATGGTAGCCCGTTGTCTCACTTCGTCACTATCTTATTGGTCCCGTTAGTCCCGATCTGGAAGAAACATGTAAAGAAAAAAAAGCGAACGGTGCGATTTCATAGGGTAATTTCGGTTTTTTTATTAAAGGTAGTGCTACCGAGCCTCAAAATGACTGGACTTGTTCCCAGGCGATAATATTTCCTGACTTATCGAGGCTTAACCCTACAAAAATCCCCACCATTCCATTGTAGGCTGACGAGTATTGTGATGAACAACCGATGTACTGGTATTGTAATTCAGCAAAATATATTTTCGAAATGTTTTGAAATACTCAAAACACAATTGTTATGAATTTTTCTGAAACGAAGTCACAATTGTAGTTACAGTTATTCACATAGAGTGCTGCAAGCGGTGCTGTAGACCAGTCCAGTTCAGCTCATAAAAACGGTACAGCTTGCGCATTTTGTAACGCTTTTGGTAGGCATCCATTTGGATGTAGACGTAAAGGGAAAATTGGGAAGGTTGAAGATAGTGCCAGCGTGCCGATAAGGAATAGAAAAAAAGGAATTTGTAAAGAAATTGGATAGACGCAGAAACCCTACTGTTCTCGATAATCGTCTCTAACCATCGGTTTCACTGATCCCGACATTTTTAACTAAAAAATCCAAACGAGACCTACTCGAAGGACTTGACAACCTAGCAGTATTGCGTTCTTGAGCAGATCACGAAGCTTTTCATTTTCATAAAGATTATATTTTGATTTGTTTTACACACAGTTTGAACTCAGACGTGTACGAAAAAAACATATATAAGATATATTGTGATGGAAGGCAGTTCAAAGAGGGTCGTGATTAGCGACTGAAGCAAGAATGGGGCCCATCCGACCAGACGCGCAGACGCAGCGGCGGGAAGTGCCTCGCGAGACAATGTTGACTGCTACCCGAAACGAGCGAATCCACAATTACAGCCCGTAAGACAATCCGCAGCTAACGGGAAAGATACCCACCGAATGCCACAACGTCGGAGCTGTCGATCAACGCATCTCGCGCCGCGATCGGGTCAAACCAGTCGGAATGGCACGCGGAAGAAGAGGCAACGTACGTGCCAAGTGCGAACCAAGACCAACAAGGAATGACCCACAGAAAGAGGCATGAATCATCCCGCCGCGCGGTTGAGAATTGACTGTATATAATCGAATGCATACACTGTTTGTTTTTGAATTGGATCAACAGACGTTTTCCCGGCCAGCTCGCCTTATCGTTACAATATGTATATATATATATATATATATGTACTGTTTGATAAACCTAATCTTTAGGCTCTAACACGGTCACCCAGCAGAACCTTGATAATCAAATATCCTGGTCAGACTTCTTCATCTCTTCATGGAAGATCACTAATTGGTTAGTCTTGACCTTATTCTCACTTGCTTTGAATATGAATGCACGTTGATGACATGCGCAACACATGATTCGGTCATCAAACTCTAGAGGATTTTTAGAAGCCACATCAGTTCTCAACCTACGGCTTCGTTCATAATTCCAGTAGTGCATGCTGTGTTTGTGTTCCTGTGGAGACTCGAGCCGAGAACATTCCGTTTTGAGGTTGAAAAGCCCTTACCCGTGGGATACGTGGCTGATGATCAATACATTGGATATGGGTTAAACGAACAGCTTTTATGTTATCTATCTGGATTGGCATAAACGATCAAAGCAAACTGCTAAAGAATTCCAACGTGGATGAAACAGTTACTCATTGCTCGCTTCTGGTCACCACACAGAACGATCAGGGGCTTTTTAAACCTATCTATGCATTCGCAGGAAAAAAACAATAAGAAAAATATTGTTGTTGTTCGTTGTTCATGGCTTGAGTCCCACAAACATATTAGTCACTTAGTGGTGAGTNCCGAAACGATATAGTTTGTTTGTCATCACGCATTGCAGCAACACATCTGATTTTTTGACTGCACTTTCCAAGGGGACTGCTAATTATGATTTTAAAATTGCTTTCCTTCTTCCGAAGACAATTATTGAGGGTTATCTTTTTCTGAATGATGTTACCAAATCGGGCATGCTTCTTCGACACAATTCTACTTTCCCTTTCCGCCTGGTCCTTAATTGACTTACAATTATTTGCCCACTCTCATATTGTTTTGCTTAAAGGTCACTGTGTGTCATTCAGCTCCAAAACTGTGTGCCACAGTTGCGGAAACTGTGACCGGAATGCAAAGACGACCAAACCCATGTCTCATATCCCGACCACGTTCAACCTTTTTGCCCGGCGTGGATCTGGTCGATCGCTCCTCTGATCCGGTTCGATCCCGACTGACCACGACAACTGCCAGACCTCGGCCGGAACTCTACTTGATTTCTGCACGCAATTCAACCCGTCAGGCGGACACAACTCCACAGCCCAACGGGGACCCGGTTGATTTGGATTGGACAGTTGGTTCGAACACGGCCTCCTCAACCTCAGTGCGACAGCGTCGCAGCCGTGATGCCACAGATCGAATCGGAGTATTGTGTCCTAAAGAGTCCCCAGTGCGAACCACTCGAACATCCTCCAGTGATTTCCGAACCAACTTCAATAGTGAGTATATACGGTCTGTAATTTTTACAGTGCGGTTGTTCCCTTAATAAAGTCCCAGTATCTATCTGCTTTGATGTATTTGGTGTCTGCAAAGAACAAAACAGGTGCTGTTTCAGGTACCGAATCAGAATGAATCGTTTTAACCAAAACGTGTTCTGGATTGCTTTTGTAAAGACAACTTTGCTAGTACACTGTACAGATACTTGAACAGCGTCCACGAGTGCATTTGAACCCCATCGAGGTTTATCTATTCGTCATTTTATAAGATATTCCGTAATATAAATTATAGTCCCTGGGTCAAGGAAACCAAAACTCCAAGATCACCTTAGATTTCCCTCATTCAAATACACAACTTTTCCATTTCGTTTCATGCAAGACATTATTCACTGAGTGACCAGCTTGTTCGTTTTGTATAAACTAAGCAGATCAAACGCATGGATGTATACTGTTTGAGCGGTGGTGGTCACATTGCCTGTGTTATCCTGATCCAGTTCCCTGATTAGCCAGTTGCTAATTCCTGAACATCGAATGTGCGACATTTTGAACAATGAAAAGAGCTAATCAGGAATTGCAGTACTCAGTAAATGAAAGTGTTACGGAACTTTGCAACAGTTAATTCAACAAAGCAGTGGTTTTTCAAAAACAAAAACAAATTAATACGATAAAACACCGGATTCCGGTTTTCTCTTTTAAAACGTCTTACAAGCATCAATCGAGTAAAGTAAAAAAAGCTATCAATGCGCATGCTAGATTCGGAAAGTTTTTACTGGATTCAGTGAAACTTAAGGCTTCGAGGAAGATGCAAGACATCCACGTTATGGTTTTTGAACATGGGGTTTTATAAATCAGAGCAAAGTGAAAACGCGCTTGACTTGTTGCTCAAAGAACAATACAACAATTATTGAAAAAAAAATACAGAGAGTAACGAACAAGCTCATTGGCGGTGATTCTTCTACAGGCTAATACATCATAATTTATATCAAACTGTTCGTTAGGAGTGGCGGGAGGGGGGAGCAGTAAATCGTGACAAGTTGGAAAAAAGAGATAATCAGCATTCCAGTTCCATGACTGGATGTTGCTCACACTTTGGCCTTCACACATGCGTACTGGGTCATTAGAAGTGAGTGGAGGATGGCTGTGTCGTGTGTATGGTGTTGGCCATGGAAGACCGAGTGTTCTTGCGAATAGGTTTAGAGAGCACAGGGGTGGGAGGATTATTATGAAACTGGGATGCTGATTACTTCTTCTTCAACTTATCTTGATTTGTACCCCTTCTCCTACCATACACTTTGATATAAATTGTGATAAACTAGCCTGTAGAACAATCACCGCAAACAAGCTTGTTCGCTACTCTGTTTTCTTACAATGTGTAATGCGATTATATCCGGCCAAAAATGATTAAGTTGTTTTAATCTAAATTGGAATATTTTCTATTTCTGGTTGCATTATTCATCCTGTGAAGATCAAGAAAGGGCACTAGAAGGTTGTTTCGCACTTGTTATGATCCATCAGCAGCGCGTACGTTTTTATCCCAGCAGCGAATCAAATCGAACACACGCTGCAAAATACCGAATAGGATTGATAAGAAACATCATATTCTATCCTGGACCACTTCTCACTGTCATCTATTTTATTTGCTGTCTCCAGTCGCTTTAGGTTTGTCATTGTGTGAGTTCAGCGTTTTTTACTGACCAGTCAAACAGCCCAAAATTTCATGGTTCTTAGCTTAATTGACCAAAATTGTTAAAAGACAAAAGTTGATAAAGTGCTGAAATGAAACACACTTTAAGACATTATGGACAAATGAGCTCAAAACATTAGAAAAAGCTTCAACGCAGATGGATAAGCGGGCTGAATAAAAACAGAATAAAAGATAATTATCATCTAGCAATAGATGAAATCGGTTGGGTGCATATGAATAGCGCTTTTGTTTTATTAAACGTGTGGTAAAATTGGCGCTCTTGTCTGTGGTTGATGTTAATCAGTGAGATACCTAGTCTAGTTTATCACACTTAAGATCTAATTGACCGCTTCCATATGGGTAATAGCTACCTGACGTCAATCGGCTTCTGTTATTTCATTCTGGTTTAAAATGTGAGGAAGCTTTCAGTTGTCTATTGCGAAAACGCATTTTCCCGAGGTCACTCTGAACGTGGAGCTCAAAAGACATTCAATTGTTTGATAATGGGAACGGGTTTTGAGCAAATGCATCTCGTATGGCACTTGAGGGAATGATATTATTCACATTATTCACTGTTATGAGCAAAAGCGTTGAACAGGGAAGTGTTATCCGCCCTTTCATGGAGAAGCAAACAAACACTTATGCATCGGAAGATAATGCGCTTAAGGGTCCTTTGAAATGGATGCGTTATTTAGAATGGAACTACAATGCTTACAGAGAATTTGCACATTAACATACATTCAGGTAACAGATTAAAAGGCGATACCAAGTATTCATGCAGCTTTACGTTAAAATGTTCTCTGTGATGATGCTCACTTGAGTCGATAGTTGTTTTAATCTTCTAAAACTATCTAACAAAACCCCCCGTGTTAACCCGGTTACAGTAAATTAGTGACATCTTGGAGCCGAATTCTAGCTGATAGTCGTAGCCATTTGCTTATAGCGATTAAAATTTATTGCGTATTTTTTTGGTTCTAGTTATTTGATATCGAATAAATGTGAGTATTCGGTAGGGAGACCTGAGTGCCACCTACAAAAGAATCGAATGTTACTCCCTGCTCTCTCACACTCTGTCTCATGAATAGCAGTTGTCTCGGACTCCCACGAATAAGCTGTCGCTTGCTTTAACAATAACACAATAACCAGCATGACTTTTCCCAACGAGAAAAATCTGCTGTTAGTCTGAGTGATGGTTTGAGCAGAGCTGCATATTTAGAAGGAAAGCATACGGAAAATTAAGTAACATCTAATTTGCAACAATCGATCAATATTTTATTTATCTTCTCTTTATCGGTGCTTATCAGCTCAACAATCCGTCTATATTTTCTACAGTGACAAAATTAAACCCTTCCATCCAATCACAGATACCGTGGAAATCCAGCAATCGCTTCTTTCCAGTGCGCTTGAAGTACTACTCACAAATGCGAGTAGCAGTGCACAACGAAAAGGAACTTCTGACTCACCTAATTCCACATTTTTGTTCACACCTACCGTCCGATATGCGCAATCGCATTTTGTTGGTCAGACATAAATAAGTGGAAGACAGATTTTCGTCAAACCTACACTTTTTGGCCAACATTTTCCGATGAAAGACAATCAAGATAACCTCCTTTCACTCAACCGTTCTCAATCGTTACTCGTGCTGCATGATTTGTTAAACTACAGGTACACAAACACTTAATCGAGGCCATTCTTAGTTCTTGTTCCTAGTCGTGGAAAGCCAAGCAGTAAATCTTATCCTACCAGCGCCTAATCGGATAATGAATAAGGTTAGTATATTTCCAGGCTGACCTTGTCAGTAGCACGCAATTTCATATGTGCCGGTGTGTGTGGGTGTGGGTGTGAAGTCAGGATATCTCATTCTAATCAGCGATACACATATGAACCCACAGCGAATACCATTCTCAACATAAGCCATTTCCGTTGAATTTACGAATGAACAGTTGAATGAATCAGTGAGTCCTCCTCCTCCCTCCCACTCCTAGCATTCTTGTAGCTATCCAGTGTACGCCGCTCGACTCATGCTAGTCATCCGGAATCTCGTCATACCGGCGCCTCCATACATCGTACCGCAGTACTAGTCTTCAGTTCATTTACCCCCAATCTGTAATCCACTACCGCTTCCCAAGTTTAACCCTACACAAGAGTAGTGTGAACAGTTCGGTTATTACTCCACCTCTCAC